ACCGGCCAAGGCCACCAATCAATATCACTAACCAAGGACCACCAACTCACACCTCCAGCCACTACCGATCAATACCCTAAGGCACAAATCATATTGAAGAACCCAATACCAATTTAGAATAAAGGCTAACCAAACATAACGCTAACTAATGTAGGAAATAAATTGTATAAGTTGTAATATGTGTCAATAATTGCTTTTAGGAATTGTGGTATAAGATATGTTAATAAATGTTAGTATTTACAAGTGTTGTTTCAATAAAATAATCTAATAGAAGTCGCATCATAGAGCACTCTACCATTCTACCTCCGAAACAAATTCCACTCAAATTTCGTTTACGAGCAGGGTCCAGTTTGATACTCTTAAATGACGTTATTGGCAGAGAAGATCATTGCTACAGACACCAATTCGATTCTGGACTCCTGCATCTGGGAGTAAATGAGATATCCAAAAACATGTTCTGTGGACCATCCCCAATTTTTGGGCACAATTTCGCGTAACAGGTGCAGCTAGACTGCAAGTCTCGTGGGCAAACATCGCAAAGGTTCAACATCTGTGATGCGCCATTTGAAACCTCATTTCATCCACCCGCTCTTCTTGGGCAAGGTGGACAATATGAGCGCGTCCTCAACCACAACTCGCTTCCGTTCTCCCTTCTTTGAGCTCTCACACCATATCTTCAACGTAGCACTTCGAGAACACTGTATCACGCGTAAGTTGAGCCAGCACACAGAGAATTCGAGTTGCGAATTTTACGTGTGTCACCAATCATTTGGAAATTCCGCCTCGATTTTGGTCACTATGAAGTTCTTTTATGTTTTTAAGTGTTTCCTTCTGCGGCACTACAAACTAAATTAGGGTATACCGTAGCTGGGTGTGCTAGCTTAAAAACAAAAGCAAGCAGAATGCTCTAGCTCTTTTACTTTTCCCACCATTTCTCTAGATGTCTGGACATGTTTGAATGAGATGACCTAATATTATCGAAACTAACGCTTATGTTCCGTTCTTTTTGCTATGCTCATGAGGCTAGGGGCCTAAGGGGTATCGTTTTTCTGTGGTAATGGAGGCGGAGCTTTTTCCGCGGAAGATTCCTTTAAGGACATAAACGTTGTGAACACAAGATTTGTTCTTTCCATGACTTGTCGATTACTCAACATATGAGTGTTTCATCTAATAGCTCTTACCAGGAAGGATGATTGGTCGAAGTGGCCATATGTAAAGAGACCTACACCACTGGATGTGTTTTTGGACGCTGATCTCGAATCTGCTTTCCAAATCTGCCAAACGATTTTCTGAATGGAGTTATGAAGGAAAGTAGTGCAGCGGTAGTAGTCCGGGTTCACGTGCGAGACGTCGTAGGATCGATTCCCTGGCGGGTTCTCTTTTTTGCCTTCGCTGCAAAATGATGAAAAGGCTCCCAGCTACCTTACTCGATCAATGCTTGCCTGTAGTTACCCGTGCAAAGACTTTGCGAAGAGTTTCTAATCAGTTTCTGCGGTACTTCACTAAAGACTGCACATGGAGCCCACAGAACTCTTGGCAGACGTTTTTGCAGCAAACAAGTGTGATATTCGTGTTCCGGAGATTAAAATACCCCTAGGGACAAGTTTGTAGCCAAATTTGAGATTTCGACCAAATTTCGAAATAAGCTGGTGGGTATCTATCCATTCATCCATCAGCCTATCATCGAAGCCTATATAGCCTTGAGACGATAAGTTTGGGTTTCTGAAGTGTGTAAAGCAGTGTCTGGTTTTCTGTTCGCATGATTTCAACACCCACATTTTATTATTTTCAAATTTAAAGGGTCGCCGTCGTCCAAAATAGGTCAACCCTGGAACTACCGGCTATGGATATGTAGCATCAATGAGTGACTCGCCCACTTTTTTTGAAGTTAATTCAAAATCTCGAATTTTTCTAGAAATTGGCCCCAGGAGTTATTGGACTACTTGAACACAGATCTCACATTCGTTCACTCAAAAACGGCTGAAGCGCGCGCTCCGTATACTGGCGCGCCTTAACCTTATGTAGTGGCATGCAAGTTAGGAAAAATTTCGAAGTTATCGACCTCAAACTCATCCAAAAGCAAGTAGGGCTGACCAATGATGAAGGAATCATGTTTCACTACTGCCAAATAGTCAGTCACAAAAATGCAAAAGGGAAAACACGCGGCGGATCCGAACCACTGACCCCGAAATCCCAAGCCCACCACCTTAACCACTAGGCCACCAGCACCGAAAGGCTCACTGCTTCGTTCACAAGCCGCTGCTGCTGAGGCCGATTTCTCACTGTGTTAAACTGTGTGAGGGAACAAAAAACCTCCGTAACTCCGTTCAGCGAATCGTTTGGCAGATTTGGGAAGAAGATTCGAGATCAGCGTCCGAAACCACATACCATGATACTTGTCTCATTTCATATGGCCACTTCGACCCTTCATCCTTCCCTAGTTAGCGGAAAGTTGTCCAAGCAACACATCGGTGTTCCCTCTCGACGACATTTTCAAGGATCCTGTTTGTTTAGTTCAATTTTTCGTGAATTCGAGGAAATTTTCGTAATCTGCAACTTTTCTCTATCTGAACCATGCAGGCCTATTTTCCATGTTTCTGCAGATATGAATTTGTTTATAAAATTAACCCAAAACAGTGTTTTTTGCCTTGAATGGTGTATGTATGTCTTCACGACACTATAGGGATTCTATCAGTGAACTAACAATAGTGAAGAATTTTCTATTCGTAGAGTTTCGTATCTAATTGTTTTTTTATTTACGTACTCACCCACAAAGAGTTGAATTATGACGTAAAACTAAAGATTTCACAGGCTTTGGATAACCTTTGCAAAATTTGAGCTTACTCAACCTTTTTGCGGACCACATCGCTTATAGTTATGATAAAGCAGAATCTATCGATTGAGTACAAAAAAGCCAGGAAAAAGTTAGGGAAGGGCGAAAAAACTACATAGATGGGTGCAGGACACATACGTCCCGCGCTGTCCGACGTGGCCTGCAAAATGCGGGACGTATGTGTCCTGCGCTGTCGTCAACGTGTTAAAGAAGCAATGAGAAATCCTTCCAGTTTTCCTTGCGTTTGATCTCACCGCTTCAAGCTAATTGACACTACTTAGCCAACTTTAGTTACATGCAGTTTTCTTGCTATGGATGAAAATCAACCCGGATACTTTGTTTTTTGGAAACCCATAGCTACAGAAAAGTGCCAGTTTTCTATTGGGTCAGGTCAGGTTATCTGGGATGGGATCCCGTTCGCTCAGTTCCATGTATATTCTCACCACCGACCACTCTGACGGGTAAACGGCATATGGATGTATCATCACAGCTGGTCATACCCACTCATCGAGGGCACCATCCATGCGCGCGCATCGTATGCGCCACTGGCCAAGTTGCAAGTTTAGCACTATAGAACTTCTCCATCGCATTCAATGGCTGTTCCGCCATGCCGCCTGTTCTGGCATCTGCCATCTGAGGCCTATTGTTCATCAAAAGCCATTTAATTAGAACCCGTAAACACTGCTTCTCCTAATGGTACAGCCACTTAGAAATTGTTCAAAATCTCGAATTCCACAAAGTTTCTGGAAAAATGTCCAACAGGAAAACTGTGTCAAATTTGGTCGCAAATTCGAAAATCAACACAAAATTCCAGGTTGAAAATGCGAAAAAATTTTATCCTAATTTTTCCAAAAGGGTCGCTTTTCCTCGTCTCCAAATGATACAGCCACCCCGTGTTTCTTCGTTGCATTTCATTTTTGCTCGATGAAACTGATTGCAGTCATCAATTTTTCTTTTTTACGTTATCACGAAAAGGAAGCAACCATTGGACTCTGAAAAATGGCAATCATCGAAAAAAGGCACTAATATTCCGCTGGAATTCAGTGGAAGCTGCGAAGTAATTAACAATTTCTTCTTGTTGCTGTAGGAAATGGAGCTAAAAAAGCTCTGGAAGCTCATTGCTTTCTGTTCAAGATTAGCGCGACCTTGTGAAAATAACATCCATTTTCATCAAGCCGTGCTCTTGAAGGAATTAGTCTTCTATCGAAATTAATCCCTTACTGGATAGTGCTTGTTATGTAGAGATCGTCCCAAGATCGTTCTGAAGTGGAAAATGCTGAAGGAGAAGCCAAGGTCAGTCGTGGGATCACTTTTGCTCTTGATTTCTCTACTCCTGTTCTGCTTCTTGCTCCGCTCGAGTTTGGCTTACTAATAAGTTTTTTTTCGTTAAGAGCAGATCCATATGAAGCGAAAAGCGCCAAAAGAATTGCAAACTGAAAATAAGACATTGCAGGCCGAAAACGGATCCTATTTGGGTTGGCTTGGATAGCTTTATCATGAGGAGAAGCAGTGTATTTCAGAGCATTCATTGTGGAAACATCGCGGAAAAAACTTCAGTTTTTGGATTGGTTTACTTTGCTGATTACGGTTTTCACCGCGATTTCGATGTGAAAAATGATACATGGGTGCTGGTTTGCAGGCCAGTGCAGGTTTGCCAAACAGTTGTCCTGCGTGGCACCGGAACCGAGACCTCTGGTATGGTAGGTAGGTGTGCTACCACTGCACTAGACCATGTTTCAGACTAACTCTGAATTTAATGGTATATTTTCCACAATTTTATCAGCACTAACACTTTTACTGTCGTGATCCGGTTAACCGACATCGGTACTGAACCGTCGAGTATCCAGATACAGTGTCATACTAAGGCCATGTTTTGCCCTCAATTCAGCATCGTGGTGATATGCAAGTTTCGTTTGAGGTGCGCGTATCTTGCTCACCCATAATGGGTGCTAAGCGAAGGGCCAATTCCGGACTCCGCTAGTCATTGTTTGTACAAACTCCTTCAGAACTTTCCACGATTTTGAATAAAAGTTCGATGAGTGATGCAATCCAAAGAGACTAATTATTAGTGATCACCCACTCGCTCTACCGGTGCATGGAGAAGAAACCACAGTTCCTATGTAACTCCGAGAAGACTGATCAAGCGTTCGTATGCCAGTAACCATGCGTGGGGATAGCTCAGGGGTAAAGCGCTCTCTTAGCAAGGGAGAGGTTTGGGATTCAATTCCCCATATCTTCAGTACATTCCGCACTCTGATATTCGCCATTCAGACAAAGCCAAATTTGTGCCACAGCAGTTGTTCGAATAATAATGAGACACCCAACAAGACCGAAAAACAGTCAAAATTGTCTTCAACGACAAAAGCAAATTAAAAAGTTTGAAACATTTATCGAACAATGATATCAACAGCTAGGCCATTTTCGGTTTCTTGGCAAAAATATCGTCAGCGTCATACATTCTTGGACCTGCATCGATAGTTACAGCGTCGTGTGGTGCCACTGGCGTAATAGGATGAGCATACCGACACTTTGCTCCCCGTTTACACTGTCCACGTGCAAACGCTCTGAAAACAGAGAATTAACACGTTGACAACAAGCTGACGCGCAAGCGCGTCAGACATTTGGCGCCGCATTGGACATTCTGACGCGCATGCGCGTCAGCATCTTGGTACCCATTTTTTCCGCACATGTCCGACTTCTTCCGAAATTTTTTATTACTATTATATAGATCATCATGCCTGTAAACGGTGTGGTCCATGGAGCGGTTGAATATGCTTTAGTTAAGCGAAGGTTTTCTGAACCTCACTGAATTTTCCGTTTCGTTCAATCTTCGACTACTATTTTGGGGTAAACAAGCATAGGAACAAAATATTAGGTCGGTCCATAAGTCTTGCAACAAACTGGCCGAATTTTGAATTTAATATTTTCATTATCTTTTTGTTCCATTCATCCGGCATGCTACCCTCCATCAATATCTACAACCTATTGCCAACACACTAGTAGCTGCTCGATGCCTCCCTTGTAGGACTCTACTGAATTCTGATCGAAGAAAGATCAGATGTCGATTTTGACATCATCATAGTTAGGATGAGCTTTCTTCTCTAGGAGATGGTTTGGAGAGGGGAGCAGAAGGGCATTATTTGCCTCGAGGTCAGGGCTATAACGTGATACGGAAGAACTCTCCGTCCAGAGTCTCGAAATTTTCCTGAATTTTCTTAGCAAGAGGTGGTTCAACGGTGTCATACAAAAGCAAACTTTG